TAATTTTCCTTCTCTATCAAAGGAAAGTCACTGCCAAAACCTTAGAGAAGTACAAGTTCTGATAGTTTAGACTATTTGGTAAAGACCCTGCTCATTCTTACTTAGTGCAGGCTAAACTTCCAGATCTATTCTCATCCAGGCTTTGAATTATCAAGTTTACTTTTTGTGATGGCTGTTCAGAAAGGAAGAGATGATATTTTGGCTGTTGAGCACTTTTAAATGTGAAAACCAAAGGATGAGGTGTCTCCCATATAGGCTGCATCTGCCTTTAAACCTCAAGAAGATCTTGCCCAGAGTTGTCCGAGTTAAGATCTGTGTTTGTCAGACTCTCAACCAAGAGATTTTACAAGAGTCTGGTATTTCAGTCTGCCTTGGTGAAACAGCCAGAAAGTAAAGGAAATTCTTTGTAGACTCTGCTTATTGGCATAGAGGTCCTCTGGGGGGAGTTTCTCCTTGAATTTCCACGCTTCTTACTACAGGGGAAATATGACTCAAAGATATGTTATATTACTGAAGGGTGTATGCTCTTAATCTAGATGCCTGATCAGCTTCTTGACTGAGGCTTCCTGAGATACTGTGGTCATGTTGAATTGTTCATTTACTCTTTCTGTGCTGCTTTCTGCCTGCCCAGCCCCTGCCTTGTGTATGGAATAGAAATGCTAGTATTTCTTGGGAATAGTGGGACAGCTGCCCTCTGAGCCAGACTTGCTACTAATTTAAATCAACACGATTTTTCTGAGGTTAGTAACACCAATGTCAAATACTCTGGGGTTCTCTTGGAGCATAGGTCTGAGATGCCCAAGACTTACTTTACCTCTGAGTTGCATGAATCTGTCTATAAAAGCCTTGTAGAGCATGGGGTGTGTGCTGGGGTTGTTCAGATGCTCGGATAGGCACCTCTCTATGGGTTATCAGTTATATTTGGCCTCTGTGCTGAGATGAGACAGGTTAAACTATCAGTTTGTCTATTTGTGACTTGTCTCATGCTTTATGGGTTCCTTCCAACTTAAGATACTCTGTGAAAACTGCTGTGAAGGGTAGCTGCTAAATCCCTGGCATGACTGGAGGAGAGAGGATCCATAATTGTAGATTAACCCATCTCAAAATGCCTCTTAATATCTTCTGACCCCAGTCTCTTTCCTGGCAAGCACCTTTGCGGTGTGTGGCAATACCTGTGGATGCACTACAGCACCAGAGGATGCACAGTTCCCAGAGAAGAGGGTCTCAGCACCTTGAAGGAGGCTGTAAGAGGAGTTCCCATTTTGCGGGGTGACATGAATGTGCTGTTGCAGAGGAGGGACATCCTTGTTGCTTCATAACCTGTCACAGCAGAATAGCAAGGTGACTTTCCTGTTTGAAAACTCTGACACAATGATTTTTCCATTGCAGTACAAGCAGCCAGAGGCAAGGCTGCAGGGAAAGTTTTATGTTCAGTTCTTCCCGTCTAGGTAATGAAACAGTAAAAGCACCATGGGTTTTGAAATTGTTCTGCAATTTCATATCTTCCCCCTTTCATGAACTGTGAAAAGGTCCATGGGACAGATGTCATTCATGTGGCTGCTTCTGGGGGTCAGCTATGAAAAGCAAGGGGCAGCCTGGAGGAAGCTGCAGGTTGCCTGTGTTCCTGCTAGTGCTGTCTGAGCAGTGATGGATTCGGGCCTGAGGGTGGACCTTGAGGGCTGCTTTAGAGTTAACTTGCCCTGAGACTTTCTCCCATTTGGATCCCAGCTTCTCACCTGTAAGCTTTGAGCCTTTTCCTATGGGAGAGAGAAGACTGTATAGGGACTTCTGCTTTGCTGGCCTCTGGCTTGCTGGCAGCTGCAGCTGGTTCATGCTTCTTCAACCTGCAATCATCCAGTGTCATTCTGTGGGGTCTGATGTGTAATACCAGCTACACTCTGTTCACAAAAAGAAGGAACAGTGGATCTGGTAATTCTAACAAGGGGATTTGTGTTGGGCTATGGCAGTCAGGGGATCATCTGGGTCTGTAAATCTCTGCCTTGCTAACGGGCTGCAGGAAGCCCATGGCTGAGCAGAAAGGTAACTGCCCTGTTAAAGTAACACTGGGTTCTGAAAATAATTACAGAAAGTAAAGGTGTAATGTTTATAGAGCTGTGGTCTCTTCCTCTCTCTGCGTGGCAGGAGATGGTGTGGAAAAACACTGTCCAGGCAGCCTGTGCCCTGGAGCTGTGGTGTGCAGGCTCAGTGTATGTTGGCTCCATCCCAGGCAGGGTGAAGAGGTGTGTGGGACTGGGAAACAGTGCCTGCCTTCAGGCCTTTCCTGTCTCTCTGGTGACTAGAGCCAGAGATGAAATGTGGGACTAGACAGAGAGGCCTCAAGCAAGAGCCTCTGGGGATGTCTAAGGTGAAAGGAGCTCCTGTTTGGAGGGAGGCTGGCAAGAGACCTTAAAGGCAGCTTGTCCAGAGGACAGGTCTCTGGATGGCAAAGCAACAGGCATTTATTAAACATGGAGGAGAGAAAGGAATGTAGCCTATGCTTGAGAAAACACTGTCCTTTTGAGGAGAAACTGCACCCCTAGTACCTGGATGTGACCACAGGCTCTTTGCCTTTTCCCCATGCTGCTTCCTAATATGTAAGCACTCAGTTGAATATTAAGTTTTCTTTCAAATAATCCCGGAGTGGGTGATAACTGTGGTGGTAGATCAGAAAAAGCCTGCTTTGGTTTTTTTTTTTTTTTAATGACTTTGGTCTTGAGGAAACACTTGCTTGCAACTGGAGGGTGTTTGTGTTCATATATTTGATCTGTCTTAGAGGTAAGGTGATGGGAGGGATCATCATATCCCAGCTGAGGGGTTTATTGGTTCTAATACACAATCCCTATGCAGTACAAAAACTAAAGAATAAAGTTTGAATATTGAACTTAATTCTTATTTTTTTTCTTTTCTTTTTTTTTTTTACAGGGGACTGTTGGCTCTTGGCTGCCATTGCTTCTCTCACCCTAAATGAAGAAATTTTGGCCCGTGTTGTTCCCAAAGACCAAAGCTTCCAGGATAAATATGCGGGAATTTTCCATTTCCAGGTGTGTGGAAAACAGCCTTCTCCCCCCAGTACTGTTGGCCAGGAGCTGGTGACTGGTTGTGTCTCTGTGGGGGGGGTTTCCTGGAATAGTTTTGGAGGATGTCAAAGGGCCAAACAGAAAAAGGGAGACAGCTAAGGAGGGTGATGGTGGTGGAAGGAACAAGACCATTAACCAAAGAGCTGGGAGCAGACGCAGCCTTTGTGGTCCTCCCTCCATCAGCAGAGCCAGCTGGGTACATGCATCCCTGAACAGGGTGGATGAAGGGAGATTGCTTTTCCTCTAGGAAATTGGTGCTAGCAGATAAAGCTCCTGGTGACCGGAGTGCACAGTGTGATCCCTGTATGGTGACAAGGTGTCTGTACTCTCTTTTCAGTTCTGGCAGTACGGGGAGTGGGTGGATGTGGTGGTGGACGACAGACTGCCCACCAAGAACGGGGAGCTGCTCTTCGTGCACTCGGCGGAGGGCAGCGAGTTCTGGAGCGCGCTGCTGGAGAAGGCCTATGCCAAGTGAGTCAAGGCCAGGCTTTCACCCCACTCAAATTGCTGCTTCCCCACAGCATCCTCAATTGTATGAATACTACGCATTTAAAGTGTCAGCCTAATTATTAGCCTTTACAGCTTCTGGAGTATCCCACAAAGGCTGCTTTAATGAAGCTTTGTTGATAGGTGCCTAAGACAAGTAGCCAAAGTATTGGCTATATTGCTAGCCAAAAAAAGCAGCTCTTGCATCGCGTCGTGAGGCTGTTCCTAAAGTGGTCTCCTGTCACCAGGGCTTGGGAAACTCCGTTTCTTGTGTTCTGTGCACCTGTAAGAGCTTGCAGCTGCAGTGCTTCAGTGTGCAAAGCGTATCAGTCTGCATGCTCAGGTCCGTGTTAGAGGCAAAGACGCTCATATCTGAATCTCAATTTTTGGGTTGGGCAGAGAGGAATTCTTCCCTCTGACATTACAATTTTGAATTTACTTAAGAAATTTAGATCAGCTGAGAATCAGACCCATAATTGTTAAGGGGATACAAAGACTGTGGAACTCGAAAGGCAAAATGCTGGGTCTTGATTCTTTTTTTTTTTTTTTTTTTCAAATAGCGTTCATGAATTTTGTCATTGATATGACTGAACCTGCAACCTGTATCCATGATTGTATAGGATTTTATGCTGGGCTTTCCAAATACAAGATGCAAAGCTGAAGGGAGGGCACATTTGTAATTCGTAGCTGCTGTAGTGCTGTTGAAAGCAGAAATGCCATCACAGTTGGCACACTGAGTGCATCCACTGAAGAGAAGAGGAGAGCAGGGAAACCTGGTGGCTGTGTGTGTGAGAAGAGGAAGGCAAGCAGCATGATGGTTGTGTGTTCCTCGTTTTGTGCAGGCTGAATGGATCGTATGAGGCTCTTTCTGGTGGCACCACCACCGAAGGTTTCGAGGACTTCACCGGTGGAATTGCAGAATGGTATGAGCTGCGGACGGCACCTCCCAACCTCTTCAAAATCATTCAGAAGGCCCTTCAGAAAGGCTCTCTCCTTGGCTGCTCCATTGATGTGAGTTAGCAGGCTTATTGCTGGGCACTCAGCTCTTGCTGTGCGCACAGGCAGCTGGGGGGTGGACCATCCACAGGAACTGCACACAGGATGCCGCTCCCCTCTACTGTGGTTCTCTGCTCTACTTGTGCCTAGAGAGTTTGACCCACAAACGTGACTCAGGCACATGCTTTCGTGGGGTTAGATTGAAACATAGACTTTATTAGTAAAAACCCTTTGTTTCTTCCTTGAGACTTAGAGCTTTTGCTGTTTTGTAAGTTCATGGTAATGAATCATACAGGGAACTCATTAGGGGTCCTGAGGTACATCTCTGTTCCTAAGAAAGCTGGTAGCTTGGCAGCAGGATGGTATGGGGTGAGTAGATTTGGACAGAAAGCTGCTGCTAATGGCTCCTGCAGATTCTCAAATGCAACCTCCACCCTTGCTGCAGCCTTTTTGACACACAAGTTGCACCTAATATGTTCCCAAAAAATCTGGACAGATCTGAATGTTCCCAGAAAATCTGAAGCAGAGAGGCTCAGACTGTTGCCAGGTCTTTAAGAGGATTTATGAGAAAACACATTGTCAAAAGCTGGACATGCATGAGAAGGAAAAGAGGAGCTTTGGCCCTGCCTGCAAGGATTCAGCATCGCTTTTAGCCTTACTGAAATGAATCTGGGTATTGTTATTGTGTTAATCACCCTCCTCCCAAATGAGATTGCATCTTAGTTATGTCTAAAGGAAAGGTAAATTGTTTACAAGAACTCCATTCATAATATAAATGTAAATGTTTCCTCCCATTTTTCAAGTTAAATCAGAGTCCCAGGAGAGGGAAGCTTCACAGCAGGAAAAGTACTTGGTTGATATCAGTGTTTGACTTCATGGTACTTTCGAGGCCTGTTTTACTTGTTTTCATTCAGATAAGAATCTGACATCTGGAGTTTTGTCCCACAGTACAAATGTCTTGTTGAAGGTGAAGGAGAGTAAATATATTGTGTTGCTGATATGTACTGGCAATTTCTGTAGTGTAAATTTTTTGTTACTGAGTTTAGGCTTTGGAAAAAATCTTGTAAAATCATCTGTGAGAGAAATAGGGACACAGAGATTAAGCATTACATGGAGAACGTATTGCAGGGCAGTAATAGGGCGTGAATTGACAGTAGGAATCCTGCCTGCTCAATCCCATCCTCTCTCTTTTCTTAAGGTTCCAATATGCTTGTTTAGAGATCACACACTTTCTGAAATGGTGGGAAGACAGTGATAGCCATGTGTTTCATAGGTGGTTAAACATTCGCTGCCTAGCAAGAAGTGACTTTTCTCTGCAGTGTTTAAAGGCCAGACAGCCCAAGTATTCTAATGGCTATGAAAAAGTGAGAGGGTGATGTGCCTTCAGCTTCCAATGGCATCTAAAATTCAGCCTTGCTGCCCTGCATGGCAGGTTCCAGGGTGGCAGTGCTAGGGAAAACAAAGACAACCTCACACCCTGCTGTGGAGCTGAAGGGAGTGTTTTAACCCTGAAGGAAAGCACTGGGGGTTGCTGGACCTGGGTGTGATCCCTGGTGATGCCTAGATAGCCTCAGGCCAGTCACTCCCTGTTTTCTTCCCCATTACTTTGAGAACACGGAGTTTATTGTGTGTATCCCCACTGGAAATGCACAAGAGGGGATGCACCACACCAAGTGTTTTGGAGCCAAGAGGGAGCTCCCCTGTGGTGCAGAGCTTCTGGTGTGCACCCTTTGCCATGAACATGGCATCTGGAGCTCCAGCACCACCATCTGTGCTCCTGTTCCCTCTCCCCACTCTTGTTGCCTCTGTGCAGCAGCTAAACCACCCCCGCAGCCTGCCAGTGAGATTAAAGCTCCATTGGAGGGGGAAGTTTTCCTTTGCTGGATCCCCTGCACATGGGAAGCCACGCTCACAGATGTTCTTTGCTCCTCCAGATCACCAGTGCGGCAGAGACAGAGGCAGTCACTTCCCAGAAGCTGGTGAAGGGACACGCGTACTCGGTCACGGGGGCAGAGGAGGTAGGTGTGCCACCCCAAAGGGGTTTTGTGTGTGACAGCCACAAATCCATCTTCAACACTGCAAATTCTTGAGTGTCACCCATTTTACTGAATCAGGTTTTGAGTCTCCTCTTTCTGAAGGAATGCTGAATGAGTTGGTGTGTTTTGGACAAACAGAAATTTGTCTTCTTGGTGGTATGACTGAAAAAAACCCTATTTTTCCATAAACATTGCTTTTTCCCAGTGAGCAGGGCAGTGGGCAGCTCTGTGCAGAGGGCACACTACCCTCTGCTGGTGACCAGGCCCTTCAACTCGGTTCTGTGTAATAGGCAGCACTGTAACTTAAATGCACAAGATGAGAGATGTGCACAAAGCAAACAAAATATCTATTATTGTCTTTTAACTGCCTGCCAAACCACTTTTCAGCAGGGCATGTTATTTGAATGCAAGGTGCCTACTGAAGAGTGGGTGATTGCTGAGGGTAAGACAAGTGAAAACAAAGGAAGAGATTGTGGTGTCCTTATACATGTCTAGGGAGTTTTAGGGTTACTTCACCAATAATTGGTTCTGAAATAATTTCTGAAACTTGAGTGAGGTGTAGAGAGCTGCTGAGGTGGACGCTGCTAACAGGCAGGTTTGTGGGTGTTCATTTGGTCCTCTTCTCACAGCAAAAGCAGCGAAGAGGGAGTTTGTTGTCTTCAATTCACAAATAGGCATGACTTAGCCAGGCTTTTCCATCGGAGATCTGTGAGGACTTTGTAAGGATAGTTCATCTTGAGGTGTCTGTCATCTCTGGACTCTGTGTTGCTGCTGCTCTGCAGTTTTCTTGGCTTCCAGCTCTAGAGGTGCACCAGCTCCTTCCTCACATGGGTACTGTGTGTTCCCCGGAAAGAGTGGGTGTTTCCACTGAAATTTGAACAGCTATGCTTGGCCTGGCCTCAGTGTGTGCAGAAGCAGCAGATGACAAGCCACAGCCTTGGCACAGTGTGAGGAGGGGCCAATGCTGCTGCACTGCAGGGCATTAGTGTGGTCAGAGGGGTTGTGGCCAGTCTGAGTATCCCATCTCTTGTAACAGGCTCATCTAACATATAAGGAGGGGAGAAAAAGGCATTTGAATGTAAAAAGACGGTTTATACATAAATGATGACTTAGAGAAATATCTCTTTGTACCTGCTTTTTGGCAGTCCTCTAGCAGTTTTACATTCCCTTTGCTTGAAATCTTATCAGAGATAATTTTTTAGTGGCACAAAACAGACATTTTTTCTTATCATGAACTTTGGTTTGTGCATGTTATAAAACTTCTCTGGACAAGCTTGGGTGCATGAAGCATATTCAGAATCAGTTTGACTTGTGTCTTTTGGACCAGATGTGTGCATGTTTGTGTGTATACTTGGTCATGCGGAACACCAAGATACTTGCTCTGTCATGTTTTTTAATTACTGTAGAAGATGTGGGAGGGAGCACAGTACTGTGTCCCTGAGTAACTCTCCATATACTTCTGATCACATCAGGTGAACTTCCGAGGAACAGTGCAGAAGCTGATCAGAATCCGAAATCCCTGGGGCGAAGTGGAGTGGACTGGGAAATGGAACGACAAGTGAGTTGATGGCTTACACACTGCCAGTAGGCTTTTACTGCAGGGGTCCAGTCATGTTTCTGCTGTTGTCTGTCTTTTCCCTATCTCAAACTCCTCTGTAAGTCACACCTGGATGTGATGTTCACTCTAAACTGTTTCAGAGAGAAGCATCCCATCACTGTTGTCTCCCTTGTGGGTGTCACAATATGTGGTGCCTTTCATGCAAACACCTGCCTTTACATAAGATGCAGTGATTTGGTTGGTGATTCCTAGAAACCTCACTATAGTTTCTGCTTATTTAAAAGCCTGTATTCAGTCATGACTTTCTGAAAACTTACTTTCTAAAAGGGCTTTAAAAATCCGTTTCTGTTGTTAGCAATGAAAACTGGAGTTTACTCACTTGTGTGGCTGGGCAGTTTTTATTCTGAGACTTTCTTTTTCTAATACAAA